ACGGTTAACAATATGAAGGCATTATTTAACTGTTAATGCTGTAATGTGATAATAAATGACGATGATACTGAGATGGACGATGCTGAAATTTGGTGTCTGATTTGAAAATATAAACTTTACTAAAATCCACATATACCCTTATACCTTTTATAATGAACTCTAACCCTAACTCCTAACTTTAAACAAATAAGTTCAAATTTCTGCATCAGATAATAATTTGTTAAATAAATTACAAATTTTACACACGATACTACATTAGATTCAACCAATCAGATTTCATAAATAGTACCATTCCGATATTACTCTATTTTCCTGAATTAGAATCGAGTAGTTCTTGTATGTCTTTATATTTTGATTAAATAAGTATTGATTTTTTTGGATTAAAATAAATATTGCTATCTTTGTTTTTAAAATAAATTTTTATTATTGAAAACTTAACTTTGTGTGGCCTTATCTATTATTGTCAAATTTAGATTCCCGCACGCTAATTCTGAAATCCCATATTGAATCTATTATGCCGAAATCACAAAATTAACCGAATTAGCCGAAAATCGTTCTGCTAATTTTTATCCGATGCTTCAGGACATGGAAACAAACTCAAGGTCAAGAAAGTTTTCGATACAAAATCAGAAAAGATCCAGTTTAACTATTTGGTGTACAGGCTGCTCTTTATGCTAATCGCTCTAATTAAGAGTCGTTATATCGACTTTTAAGGATTAACTTTCAAAACTTCATGAATTTCTGCTTGATCTGTTAACCCGAGTTATAACCCGGGTCAATACCTGACCCGCCCGGGTCGGAATTTTCTGACCCGGGTAAGAGCTTTATGTAATGACTTAGTTGGTGAGTAGTATAACTAAAATTATTCAGGCTTATCTATTAGCTAATTATATTTTATTCAATGAATGCTAAGGTTTTTTTTTACTAATGGGTCTATTTAAAGAAGCCAATCGAGTTTATAGCATTTACTATTATGTCGTATCTTGTATAATTTAATTTTAATTTAGTTCCAATAATCAGTTATATACAACTAATTAATTTCATTTATTGTGTTAGGCCGCTTGCAATTGATTCTTCGGTTAACATCACCCCCCAGTTGAAGTCTCCCCCGAAAAATGAACAACTAATCAAACACTTGATTTACATCGACCAATTGTGTGATTAGGGAGAACGACTGTAATCTAATTAATCATGTCACTATCAGTTAGTTGATTTTTTGGTGGCTCATTATTGACAATGTGCTAAATGATCGAAAACGAAACCATTTCAGTTAAAAAAAGTTGCAATATCTGACTTGTATTTAAGATATTTATTAAGATTAAATCATTACCTCTTTTCGATCCTCTTGCGGAAAAAAGTAGAAATTTTCATGAAAATTGCCAGCAGCACTAGCAATTTTGTTAAGAACTCCTTGACCTTGTTCTATGTTACCGTTAAACTTATTTTTAATATCAATTTCATTATACTTTTTACCTTCGAGAGACTCTGCTACTTTTCTTTCATTTCGTAGTGGAGCTTGAACAGCCGCAAAAGTTTTGTTTAATTCTTTTGCATATTCAGAAGAATTATGATCAAGGGTTTGCTTGCAATTTTTCAAATCTTTATCGAACTTTTCACTTCTACCTTCTAATATTTCATTAAATCCAAATAAAATAAGCTGTAATCTTTCAGGACAATTATTTTCGTTGATTCCAGTAGAGCTAATCCAACGGTAGTACTCTTGTTTAATTTCTTCTTGAATAAAAGGAGGTTTACGTTTAATTGTATTTTTAAGTCCAAGCAATACAGTCGAAAAACATTCTTCAGCGTCTTCTGGTCCGTCGATAGTTCTTTTAACATTATTATTAGGAAA